GTATGAGGACAAGGCATGTGTAGGATCTGAATGTTCTGTGAAATATCAACCAAAGGACCTGGGAGTTGTCAGCCTGCCTAAGAGGCTTCTTTCCCTAAGTGGCAGAGGGCTGTGCAAAACCCCGAATGCTTCTCTGAAGCCACTGGGCTGGGGGTGGAGATTTCCAGGGAGCTGGGGTCTCACTTTATTTTTAACTCTAGGCCATCTGCTTCCCACTTCCCACCGGGTGGGCCACAGTCTGGGAAATATTCAGAGTGAACATATGCTGCACCCAGGGGGGGTGGGGGGGGAGGTGCTGGGAAGAGGGGGGGGGGAGGGCAGAGCTGTGTTCTCTGGAGTCATGGCCACCAGGTATGCTAGCCAGCAGGGCTCATGTCGGCCTTCTTAGTGTTTCCACAGCACTTTAGGCTCTGATGAGGAGCTACGGAAGGTGACTTCACATAGAAGGAGCACGGAGAGCAAACCTCTCTTGGGACAGGCATCCCTCCTAGAGACTCTGAAAGGTGACCAACTTCTAACAGGGCCCTCCCCTGTTAGAAGAGAGACTGTTTCTCAGGCAAGTTTGGAGGATTCCCCAAATTTTCCCTCTGGCTTCCCCAGGATTTCATGGGTCCCTAGCATCAATAGCTCTCAAGCGGACGTCAACCTTAAGGGGAGAAAAAAAAAAACCTAAATGTGCCCATTTCTTACCAATTGACCCAAAACGAACAAACATTGTCCCCCACCCCCAAGCAGGTTTGCTGTCAAAAATTACCACATAAAAGAAATTGTCAATACTCTATAGCTGTTTATACAATGAGCCGTGGTTAGCAATACTCAGTCTCATTTTATTCCTGCATCTTGTGAAGTTACCAAGACAACTGAGGCTGTAACAGAGCCTTGACTTCATGTGACATGAAAATTTAATAAAAGATTTTGAAAGGCTTTTAAGAGGTGGGAGTGGTGGAGGGAGGTGGGCTTGAGGTCTCCACAGACTTCCAGGAGCCCCTCCTACCAGGGCTCATGGGCTGCCGACTGGGTTTCCTGGCAGCCATTGCTTCCAGCATATGGAGACCATACCTTTTCTCAACAGACATTCGTGAAGAGAGTTCCCAGGTGCCAAGTTTCATGCCAGGCTTTCTGTGACTACTTTGACGTGATCTCTGCTGCATGGGAGAGGGACAAGTGTCAGGGAGGGAAAGTCACCCTTCGGGCAACTTACCTGACAGGGCGACAGGCCAAGCAAATCCAGACTCATATCAGACTTCCAGAAGAGATAGGGACTCTGCCAGCTTCTCCGTTCTGGTGTGAAGTAGGGAAAATACCTCAGTAGTCCTATTGAGGCCTGGGAGAAGCATGGCATCCAGGGACCACAGCTCTGGTCAGATTCAATGTAAATGCTTCTCCTCTTGTAGAGAGAAACGTTTCCCAGAAGCTTCTTAGTGTGCAGGTTTTGCTGTACAGAGCTGCAAAGAACTTGTTTCTCTGTTTTCCAGATCAGACTCGGAAGCAAAGAATTTCCAGCAATGAGGAAAATGGTGTTCAGTATGTGTGTGTATGTGTGTGTTTTGTGTGCTCATACATTTGTGTCTGCATGTGCATGTTGTATGTGCTCACACAAGTGTGAATGTATGCACTGTGTGCATATGCCTGTGTGTTCTCACATGTGAGTGTACATTGTGTGTGTGCTTGTGTAAGTTCATGTGTGACTATGCATGCATGAGTGTGTATGTGTACACAGGTGTAT